CCAGTCGTTGCTCTGTATGGGGATGAAATGTGTAACCTCTTTAGGTACAATTGACGTAACAAAGATGGAATTCAGCCTCGGTTTGGCATTTTTTTGGGGTGGGCTCAAACATGCGTGACCATGCTTGTCACTATTTGTGTTGATATGACTCAAAGTAAATGATACTTACAGAAGTTATATTTTGACGCATGAACTTCTAATGACATAGAAGGGTTTTGTATTCCTCATATGTTGGCCTTCTCTAATGCTGCCCTTTGTACAAATTAGAACATTTTAAACAGGCTTAATTTATAATTTACGCTCATTTATTATCTGTACTTGTAAATGCGGTCTTAATCTCATTGTAGGTTACTTCATTTTTCTCATCTACTGCTTGCATTTTGTGCTCATTGCTTTCTGAACTTCGAAAACTTTTCTAAGGATGTCTATTGATAGTTTTCTATCTTCGGATTAATTTGTTTGCCAGCATGAACCATGCTAATTGATTTTTTTTCCATCTCTTTTTGTAAACATCTCACTTCTTTATGGGTAACTTGTAGAGCTAAACTAGATATGCTAAATAAAGAAGGGTCCTAGATAAGGGGTTAAAATAGAGAAGGGTCCTAGATGTGGGCTTTAAATAGAAAAGAGTCCTAGATAAGCGAAAGTGGTTAAATGCTACAATGAAGTCTCTGATTACTAATTTGTGGCTAACATAAGAAAATTCAATGGATTTGAAGTTAAATTTGGAAGGATATAGAGATTCTTGGAATAGTGTCATTTGAGGTCCGATTTTGGAAAATAGATTTAGAAAGGTTGAAGCCAGTACAGCTGAGGACAACAGATGAATCAATATGATGGGAAAATAGAGTTAATGTAAAGGGAATGAAAAGGAAATGGGGTTGCCAGAGTTCACTGGTATAGCATTATAAAATTACAGGGGAAAAAAAAAAGAAAACACTTGCATGAGTTGTAACTCCTCAAGTAGCAGTCAGGAAGAATGGATAAAGACAAAGGCTCGTAAAGCTGAGTCAAATAATTATGATAAGGCTGATGATTTTCTTATTCAAATGATAAGGCAGATGATTTAATAATTATTACTTGCATTACCTGGAGCACCTTTGAGCTTCTTTTAATAAGAGCATTAGTGATTTGATCCTCTTAGCGTTTCCAAACTACTCTTTAATTAAAAGGGTCAACGTTCATGATCATTTTTCTTTTTAATTTGATGTTGCAGTAACGCATGGCATCATTCATAGGTGATTTGTCAAAATTTAATTTGATTGTGATGAAAAGTTAGCATTGTTTGGCTTAGGCTAAGACATCACCTGCTAGTGATATGATATAAGTTAATTCAATTATAGTGAAAAGTGGGCAAGAATTGAGTAGCTTTAAAGCTAATATTACTTTTGCTACATAGAATTTGACTCTGAATCGAAAGACAAGATAAATGGTCAACACAAAAATTAAAAGAAGAATAAATATTCTTTTTTTTTTTGGAGAAACTAATTGTAAAGAGGAAAAATTCAATGACATTAAGAAAGTTTATAAGTTGTTATATATTGGGAAGATAAATAATAATATTGTAGCATTGATAGTTGTGGAGAGAGAGTAAAAAAATTTAAAATTGTTGGGGTGAATTAGGATAGTGATAGACTGATTTATATTAAGCTAATTATTGATGATGGCATGATGCATGCGGTTAGCATTATTCTCCTCATGTTGGTTTAAATAATAGTTTATGAAACCAATTTCGAATTACGTGGATTGACTATCACAAGAGAAAGAGGGGATAATTTTTTTGGATGACTTAAATTGATATATTGGTCCAAATAGGATGACCTATGAGTAAATTTATGGTAGGTATGAAATATGAGAGAGAAATGCTTTAGGGTACATATTCGATTTCACTGTGGTATATGGATCTTACAATAGTGAACGCATACTTCAAGGAAAGAAAAGAGCACAAAGTTACTCTCAAAGTAGATCTACTCATCTACCAAATCATTGTAGAAATGTTTTATTATTATTATTATTATTTTGCAAAGATTATTAACTGATTTTAAGAAAGTTTGGTCATGCAACATGAAGTAGTAATTATGGAAGTATTTCTTAGGAATATAGATAAAATAAAAATTATCCTAGTTAAGGTAGTGGAAGTTAAAAGTTGATGAGTTATTATTCTTTCAAAATATTTATTAAGAAAGATAAAATGGAGTACTTTAATTGAGGCAAACTTTGTGGAATAAAATTGCATATTGTATTAAGAAGATTGTTGTAGAAATTTTAGGAGTCTAAGAATTAGGTCATACATTAAGGGGTTGCTTGGTTTCCGGGGTGTATTTCAAATGCAAGGGTTTTGAAAATATTAGTGTTTGATTTTGAAGTAAAACAAATGCAATGTAAAATTTTGGTGTATCTAGAATTCATCATTTAGTTCATTTTTTTGTGTATTTTGGAATTCCTTAGATTTGAGCGAGTTCTAATTCACTGGAAATTCATTGCAATTGCCGCCACCTGACCGCCGCTTGTCATCGCCCACCACTGGCCACCACTACCGCCGGCCCAGCCGCCGCCAAACACCACCGTCGGTTGCTTGTTGCCAACTACATCGCCTCCAATGCCGGTCACCGACCACTACAAAAAAGAAAAAAAATCTTATACATTCATTTTACACTCATCCAAACAACTCCAAAGTATTCTTTTTACACTGCATTCCTTTTTCAGGCAACCAAACAAATCCTAAGAGATATAGTGATGGAGTTTGGAGATACCGAAAGATATCAATGTGAATAAATGAACTTTAAAAGAGTGATATATAAAAGGTGATGAAACTTTAGAACTATTATAAGAAAGCTATAGTCTTACAAAGAGGATAGTGAGCAATGCTAAGATGCTATAATTATTAGTAATTTGTATGATAGATTAGTTACTAAGGATGAAGAGAAAGAGTTATTTAAAATAACTAAGGGGATGTTTTGTTCAAAGTAAAATGAGTGTAAAGTATTCCAAATGCAGGCGTGTTGAAAATATTGGTGTTTGGTTGGATGAAACAAGAATGTAAAGTAAAGTAAATGTAGTGTAAACCATTTTAGTTCATTTTTTAGGTAAATTAAACTTGCCCAGTTTTGAGCGAGGACTGTTTACACTGCAAGCAAGTTTTCTTGACTGCCACCTCCAGCCACTCATCGTCGCCAACCTCCCACCACCACTTACCTTCGTCGTTAGCGGCCACCTATTGTCGTCCATCACCATTGCCAACCGCCACCACCACCATCGCCACCTACCGCAGATCGCTACCACCTGCCACCTACCATCAGCCACCACCGCAGTCATCCATCGCCGTCACTTGCCGCCGACCACCATCGTCGTCGACCACTACCACTGCTAGCTGCCACCACCCTCCATTACTATCGGCCCACCACCCGTCGGTAGGGTTGCAAACCAACCGAGCCGAGCCGAGTATGTGAGTGTTCATGTTTGTGTTCATTTAATATCAGTTGTTCATGTTTGTTTCATGTTTGTTCGAGCTTTATTGCTTGTGTTCATGTTTGGTTTATTTAAATTAATGAATGTTCATGTTCGGTTCATGTTCAGTTCATGTTCGTTCGTTTAGTGCTTATCAAGCTTTAAACAAATAAACATGAACGAGCTATAAATGAGTTCTACTTTTAGATGTTCTTTAACTTAACAAACGAGCTTTATCGAGTTTCCAAACAAACGATTACATCAAGCATGTTCGCGAACATATTGAACAATTTTTTTAAACTATCAAACAAACATGTTCATGAACATATCTATGAACAAACACATTTATAATAAAAGCAATTGTATATGTCGAGCTTGTTCGCGAACTTTAAATGATGTTGTTCGCGAACATAAATGAGCCGAACGCATTAGTGTTCAAGTTTGTTTATTTAGGAATCGAGTATTTAAAATATTGTTCAAGTTTGTTTGTTTAGTTAATTAAACAATCACAAACGAGCTTTAATCGAACGAACAACGAGCAGCTTGTCGGATGTTTGGTTCGCTTGCAGCCCTACCCGTCGGTCGCTAACAGCTTTGAACTTTATACTACATTCATTTCACTTCAAACCAAACAAAAAATCATTCACCTTCATTTACTTTACACTCATCCAAACAACTCCAAAATATTCATTTTGCATTGTATTCCTTTTTCACTGCATTCTTTTTTTAGCCAACCAAATAACCCCCAAGTCAAAAGATAAGACATACAAATACTTGATCATATTATATTAAAATCAAAGATACAAAGATTATAGTTAAAGGGAAGTCATCAAGATAAAATGAAAAGTTTATTGTGAAAAGTTATTAAATAAGATTTTTAAGGAAGAAATCAAGGTTTATTTAGCACTATTATAAATAAGGGAAGCTCCATTAAATCTAGCAAAGATGCATGAAGAAAATGCTTTACTCCTAGATATGAGAAATTTAACTTTATATGTTAATAGGCATATTTGGAGAAATATGCCATTGCTTGTTTCTTGGAAAAATATGCGCAGGAGATTTATTTAGATGTTATTATGTGAGAGCATGTGAAAAACGCCTCAATATCCGAATACACAATTTTAAAACTTACCTTTAAGTAGTCTCCATCATACTCTTTTGCATACACAGCTGTTTATTGAAGTCAATAGTGAACAAATTTGATTTGAGCTTGTTTGAATTCGAGCCTTTGTTTGAATCAGGTTCATACAAGATTTGAATAATTATTGATCAATGTTGGATTGAACGTTTTTTGAACCTTGTTCAAATTTGGTTTGAGCAACATTTGAATTTTCTTAGAACCTTCCTTTATGCGTGGATTGCGTGCTAGTCCCACTATGCCTTCCCCAACAACCCGTTGCATATTGTCAATTAAAGGATGTTGTCCATAATGAGTCTCCTCTTCTCCTCACATGTCGTCCCAAGATTTATTTAGAAAGGTTCATTATGGAATTTATTTTTTACTTTTAAGATAATTCTTGGAAAAGTATAAAGATTTGAGAAAAGATCTTCATATGACTTTTGTTCAGCTTAAGAAGGATTGTGATTGCAAAGTCAAAGAGTATATTGAGCTTAAGGAGGTTTTTGATTGAGCATTAACTACTATTAGATATAGTTATGGAATGGCTGCACATTTTCAATTATGGTGATGTTACTCTAGGATAGTAAGTTTGTATATTTTTGTGTTGGTATGAAGATGTTTACTAAGTGATGCTCATTGATGTATATTTTTTTTATGAAAGATAGTTTTAATGAGTAAGATATCTATTGATAGAAGTACAAAATTAGAATAATTGAGAGCATGCTTAGAATAAAGGGCTTAGAATTATTAGAATAATGACTAAGTATATCAAATGCAAGTTATTAATTTTAGTGTGCGTGATGTTTACAAATCAATATTACTATAAGATAAGATGAAACTTAGTTATGATCAATTAAAGTATCTTGGGTTTATTATATCCTAGAGTTAATTTTATGGGATTAAAAACTTAAAAAGTGAAAAAGTGCCTCACTAGTAATGAAATATGAGAATATGATGGAGACTACTTAAAGGTAAGTTTTATAAAATTATAGATAGATCATCTATGTTGTATGTATTTAGGGATGATATTGCTTTTGAGTTGAGCCGACATGAAATCTTTTAATCACTATGTGGGAGGATGAGTGTGACAAGAAAGTCATCTAAGGTAGATCCAAAGGGGAAGGTACTTAGGCTCGGAGATGGAGAAACAAGAAGTGGTTCAATTTGGGAATCAAAGAGAAAATGAGAAGAGAAGGAATAGTGTGAGAGGTTGGAGTTCCCTGTTATGGTTTAGGGTGCATGATTTCATATGAGAGAATAAATTAGGGTTTAGCATGTATCCTTAATAAAACAAAATAGGATCTCTACAGTTCTTTTTTTTTTTTTTTCAAAGTGATTGTGTAAGGGCTTAGGATCCCTACACTTAGATATAAAAATGGCTTGTATCTTCTTGCTTTTAATATAATCGACTAAAAAGAGAGAGTATAAGACCAAAATGATTGCAAGACAAATTTATGAATGATAAGGAATACTAAACAAACCACAAGCCTTTTCTCGGAGTTTCCCTCATGCAAAACAATGACTCGTGGAGGAAGACAATGAATGTTTACGGAGCAACCGTGTGTAGAACCCCTATCACATACTCCCTTGATCACGCAAGGCTCTTCTCTCTCAAAACCTCATCTCTCTCTCTCTCTCTCTCTCAAGATCAAAGCTCCTCTTCAAACCCTCTCTTACAGAAAAGCTCTCATAGGAGATTTGATAAAAGAACATCTTAAACGAATTAAGAGGTGTTTAAATACAAAAGGATTCAAAATTCTTAATTTTCAAGACAGCCGACATTGTTCGTATAGTACGATCTTGGATCTTATAGGACGATTAATTTAAATATATCTGCTTGTTCTGTACGATGAACAAACTCTAGTACGATCAGTTCAAGATTCCTGAACATATCATATAGTACGATTAGTTAAAAAAACTAAGCTTTCGTCCAGGACGATTAAACATCGTCTTTGCTGATGTCCAGTACAATTAGTATCGTACGATATGAATAGTTCAGTCCTATTAAGGTTCATCCAGGATGATCCCTGAGACAATCAAATATCTTCGCCGTCAACCGTATAGTATGATCACAATCGTACCATACGATCAACTTTCATTAATTAACTTTATTTGATCGACTAATCATAGGAATTAATTTAGGCAAGATTTCAAATATTGTACGGTACAGTACGATTAGTTAACTCATGGAGTACTAGAGTTGAACTTCTGCAATTGGACATCTAGACTAAGGAGAGAGCTGTATCTAGATTGAGATCATCAAGATATAAATTGTGGAGTGTTTAAGGTTGAAAAATTAAATATTGCTCAGAAATTATTATTGACCTTTGGTTGTGTAAACATGAGCACGGCCTCTTATATGCATGCACTTATTATCTTTGTCTTTAGCCCCTAAACTAGGGAGAGAGCCTTTCCCTGATCTTTCTCTAAGGGCTTAGTTGGTTTTTTTTAAGTTAGAAATCATGTGTTGAAAAATGCTGGAGTTTGTTAAATCCATCATGTTGTAGATGTTGAACATTGATTTCAAACTCCACCAATCCTTTCAGAACTCCTTCAAAATTGATATCGTTTCGATACTTAAAATAAGCAAAAATAAAATCTATGTTTTCTAATGCATGTTTTCGAATTGCAAGCTTTTTTATCTATACAGCTTTTAGACTTGATGCTGTTTTTATCTACACGGTCAGCCTTATCCCACCCATTTGGGCTTTTGCCTATCTCAATTTTTTGGGATTGGTCTTATGAATTCTTGTCCATCATTACAGTGGAGTGATACATGTGGTGTCAACTCTATTTGGCTGAGTATGTTTTTGGTCCATATTTTTTTCTTTTATATTTGTTCTACATTATCATATATGTACTTATTTTATTGGTGCATCTTTGTACTTGGTTTTAAATTTGCAAGTTTTAATCACTTTCATTTCGGAAAATAACTTGGCAATTCAGAAAATCAATTAGCTTTGGCTACCTTGATTAGATTTCGCAGTATACAGCTTTTGTGTTCTTGCTGCTTGTGCTGGAAGCTGCAATTACTGCAGATATATTTCTGAACAGGAATTGGGAAGAGGTATTCATTCCATTTTTGGTTCTTGGTTGTTGAACTCTCCACATTACATATGTTCCATTGTTATTTGCTTATCAATTATGATTTTCCTGCTATATTAGGATTTTCCACCTGATCCAACTGGGAGACTTCATGAGTTGAAAGATTTCGTACGATCAAATTTCGAATTGTGCAAATTGATAAGCATGCTGGTTGTGGTTGCACAGGTTAGTTTTTTTGTTTTCTTCCTTTGCTAGGTGCTTTGCGTATTCTGTATGTGTGATTTGTGCGTTTGGTCTTCTTTTTTTTGAAGGCATTAAGTTTTTTTTCTTCCATCCAGTATTCATTGTCTTTGCAATTGAGGCTGCTTCCAGATATTTTACTTTGAGGTTATTTACGTCTTGAATTTTAATCTTTTAGTTCTATCATTCTTTCTTAAAGAACTATTATTTCTAACGAAATCATATTTAGAACCATTTCTTGATCTTCATTGTCTATAACGAAAGCATATCTTAAAAGATTCTTTGAGCTAATTCTTTTTTTAATTTAGTCCAGCGCAAATTTCTTATTGATTAGCTTCTTTTATATAAGCAATCAACTATTTTAAGGCCATCAACATATTATTTATTAACCAACTCTAATTGTTCAATAAAATCAAATTTATGTCTCAGAGGACATTATAGTCGAACTTTTAATTTTCTCGTTAAGTTGTGGAGAGGAGAGTAGATGTATTAGATTTGACTTATATTAAGAAAGATAGAGGTAGACCTAAAAAGATTAGAAATAACCGTTCTTTATTAGATTTAAGTGAAAATTTTACTCTTAACAGTACAATGGAGAAAAATGATTCATGTAGCTGACCTTACGTAGTGTAATAAAGTGTTGTTGTTGTTAAGTTGTGGAGTTTAATTTTTATCTTATTACGAAAATGTACCGCACAATTTTGATCATGGGTTATATTGTTGGCTCTCCTTGATTTATTTTTTTAATAAAGATGGGACACTATCTTTATTTGCATAAGAGAAATTGGAGTTGCAATTATCAATTTATAAACTTCGCCATCAATTGAGTGAATTTGCACAAAATTCTTAAAGTTCTATTGCATGTTTGATATTTTCTGTTTTTCATTCTGTGATTGAGTTGGGTTTCCAACCATCTATAGGATGAAGTAAGGCTTCGTTTGGGACGGCTTTCTTACTGCTTCTTAAAGCAGCTTTTTAATACAAAAATTTTAATTTTTAAACTAGAAAGTTGCTTTAAGAAGCAATAAGAAAGCCGTTGCAAACGAAGCCTAAATCTTTGATTTACTAACCTACGGTGATATTCTTTTCCATTTAAAGGCGCTGTCCATCTTCCTTGCGATGGTTCTGAGGGCTTTAGGGCCAGATCATGTCTACTACTATGACAGTGATGACGATTCTGTGCCTGCAAGGCTTCCTCTCCTCAGAAACGAGACTCAGAATACTAGCTACGTAGCTAACACTGGCTTATTTCTGAAAAATCACCCTTGGTTTGTCAGAATTCATGACAAGGTTTGGATTTTTTGTTTTGTTTTCGCTCTGATCCTCTTATAATATTGTTACCATTTCCTCCTTTCTCATTCACAGTACTCTTTGCTTTGCAGATTAGAAGTAAAAGTTGATCTGATTTTCTTCGAATGCAGCAAGCTATTCTTTTGATCACTGAGCTCTGCTGCTACTCTACTGACAGAAGAGTCCTAATTGTTGTGTAAATGAACAGATTCGCGTAGTCATAACTAATGCAACTGTGATATGATACATATATATATATATATATATTAACTAAAAGGAAGGTTGATATACTGAGCTGGAACGCTTAGCAATCCTGGATGAGGCCCAGCGATTTGTTCTTGTTGAAAGGTTTATGAAATACTTGGTGCTTAACTTGATATTTTGGGTCTGTTGTTGTTCATCTATGTTGATTGGAGTTGATCTAAATTCTTAAAGAGTTTTTAACTCATGGAGAGTATTGTTGAACTGGTTGATTGATTTGTCTTCTATATGGGAATTTGGGGTGGTAAATTTAAGGGCTGGGTTCAGGCTTAAATAGTGACGATGAATGAATTTAGTTGGTATTTAATGTGCTTGTACCTCTTCAAAGATCTTATTTTTCAAATGAGAAATATAAATAAATTTATGAAATTCAAATTTGTTCTTGTAAAATATCTACGGGCATTTAGAGGAAAAGATTGACTTTTGCCGTGGATCTTTACAAAATCTTAGTATAGTAGGTTTTTCTTGAGCTTAAAGGTCAAATAAAGAAATTGACCAGTCTCTTTATATAGGCAAATTATTGCATCCAATGACCTGATGGGGAGATATGTTCAGATATTAATAAAATATTATTTTAAATTAAGCGCAGAAAAAGCACAAGTAAAGTGCAAGCAAAGCGAAAGTTAAAAGTTGTAGTCAAAGTGCAAGTCAAAAGCACAGTCAAACGCGTAGGTGATATGGCAAATTTTTATTAGATGTCCGAACCTATCCTCCGCGTCCGGCGGATGCAATAATTTGCCCTTTATATAAGTCCAGTCTCTTTATATAATCCGCGTCCGACGGATGCAATAATTTGCCCTTTATATAAGTCCAGTCTTTTTATATAATCCGCGTCCGGCGGATGCAATAATTTGCCCTTTATATAAGTCCAGTCTCTTTATATAATCATGAAGGGTGCATGTTTTCGAAATCTGTGAAGTTCTTGGTGTTGACGTGCAGCTTACCATGATAAAATTTTAAGTTCAAAGAAGGGGGAATCCTTAAGTTCAAAGAAGGGGGAATATTCAGATAAGCTTTTTAATTTTTGGAATAGAGACTGCTCATACCTTCAGAAGAAAGATTAACCTTATTTAATCAGATGTTGGATAAATTATTATTTGTGCCGTTTGGACGCATATAGAGGGTTCAGACGTATATAGAGGTCAATACGGATGCGCCATATCATCCAATATATAACGCAGTAAATTATATGTCGTGTCCGGATTAACCTTTGGACACACCGCACGGAATATTCTCTCCAGATGTCGAGCTCCTCAGAATCAGCAACATCCTAGATCTATTTGTTTTTTAACCGAGTCGCACTATGGTTTTGCAATAGCATCAGCCTAATAGTTTACAAAAGATTTGTTAAATTAACAGTACAACCACTCAATCAATGAGAACAAATTTTACCATATAACCTTGCACGGGGTGAGGGATGGGGGTTTATTATTTTTTAAAATAACTTTTTAATTAAAAACTAATTTTTTTATTCTTGAGAACTACTTTAAACAGCAGTAAGAAAGGCGTCCCAAACGAAACCTTAATGATAATGTGATTTGGATCTAACAGATGCATGAAATTACTCCACGTATGAGCAGATTACCAATTGTTTAACAATGTCAAAACGTTTTAATTAGGTATTTTTGCATGGCCTCTATGGTAGTAAGTAATAGGCAAAGCACAGAGCACTTGAAAACTAATAAATTTCCATACTTAGTGGATGTATAAAATACGCTATACACAAAGCTAAATGAATTAGCTTCCATAGAACCTTAAACTATACACTACACTTTACAACAGCCGACTCCATGATTATATAATGCATGCAGATATAGGTTTTCCCAATGTTCGAAAGCTGAACGAGGCATAATAATGCCAGAGAACCCTGCTTGAGCTCAATCAGCTGGAAAGCAGTAGCTGGCTCTGTATTGAAGGTTTAATTTCATCAAATTAAGGTTAAATGGGCAAACCCAAATAAGCTCATTTGACATGAGAATCGTAGGAGTCGAAGTCCGTGTCCGGAATTATGAGAGGAAGCTTGTCTATGTACAGAAACAGGCGCCGAAGGTTCTCTCTGGACAGAGTTGGCATGTCTACCACATCTCTGCTGTCAGTGAAGATCCACAAGTCATCGGAGTTCACTCTCTTAAGACTATCGCGGCAGAATGGACAGGACTGCGATCTTGAATGCCTGTAGAGATTAGCAAGTTTCTGATGCATCAATCAGATGCCTAAAGAGAATAAAATAATATAGGTTCAATGTTTTCTCATTGAGGGCTTTCCTCTAACTAAAGACTAATGTTTCAACTTAAATACTTAAAAGTGTTTGGGATTCAGACTTCGTTTAGGATGAGAGATTATTCTGGGCGGACACTGAACGAAAGAACCGTCCGGTTTACACTTTAGGTACCGAGCGGTATTGAGCCACTGTACCGCTTGGTACTAAGCTCGGTACAAGACGTAGCGCATTTTTTATTAGGGTCCGGACTTCGCACAGAACAATTTTTCATTTGGGACAACTTTCTTATTGCTTCTTAAAGCAGCTTTTTAGTATAAACTTAAAATTTGTATACAAGAAAGTCGCTTTAAGAAGCAGTAAGAAAGTCATCCCAAACGAAGCATCAGTCTTCAAATATATTTCAAAGAAATGAAATCGGAATTACTTTGATGGTATAATGAATTAATAAATGTTAAGGAAAAAACATAAACTTTTTTTAATACCGAAGAGCACACTAAAAGCAAATACAATGAATGCATAAAATACTATCAAAACGATCTAGCATCAAAAAACATACACTGAAATTTACATGATTCGGCTAAAACAAATCCCATCGATAGGAGAAGAGAGCCACAATACACTTTCAGCTTTTCCAAAATACAAATACACCTAATCTCACTACAAATAAAAGCCTCAAATTTCTCAAAATAAGAATGACATAACATAAGTATTAAATCAACGAGGTCAAAATTACATCAGAAACCCTCTACTCACAAGTATGGACACAATTTCTCACTTTGCTTTGCAGCCCAAAGAAATTTACTCAGAATTTTTGTTCTCAATGCATGGCTCGGGATCAATCTCATTAAATATTTTCCGATGAACTTGTGCCCCTATGTTACGAGCGGACCGGTCCCTTCTGGACCGGTCCGATGCTATTCCAGGCGGAAACAGCAAAAAGGGGCGGAACCCCCTGTGGACCCCACGGTTGCTGAAATTGATTTTGGGAGGGAGAATTTTGAATGAGGGGCTGTTTTAGGAAGTCCATTATGGTCCTTTATGATTAATTTGTATAATTAGGAGATTAGGGGGAAAAGAGAGATCATCTTGAATTTGAATGTAATTTGAGATCTAGGTTTTCTTGCTTGGGCTCTTGGCGTTGCCGGAGATTGTCGGAGAGTTGTTCTTCCTCTCGAATCGAAGAACATTGTATCTTGCTTTCGTTTTGATCATCTACTAGTGGAATATAAGTCCATTGGGTGTTTTTCTCTCAGATTTCCTACAGTTTTCTACTGTTTTCCTGCGATTTGGGCTGTTTTCCTGCAGAAAACAGCAGCTCTATTGCTGTTTTCCCCACTCGAGTTGATAGGAAATACTTGGATCCAAGTATTTCCTATCACCCTACCAAGCATTAATTACGATATTACTTGAAATTACTTCCTTAATCCCACTACAGGCCGACTACCGCCTCATCCAAATGCAATTTGTTTCTCTACCAAATCCAACCCAACAAAACCGTATCCTATGCAATACTATAGATGCGGTGCAATTCTTTTAACAGACACGGCAAATTCAGGCAATTTTTAACTGTAAATTCAATTTTTTAATCGCTATGATAAATTTTTATTTATTTTATAGCCACCTAAAATATGGATAATCAATAAAATTATTTGAATATAAAAAAAGGGATTTATCAAGTCCTTGAGTTAACCATCATGGATGCATTCATTGTTTTAGCTATTTCAAATAACACTATTGTTGCTTTCAATCCTCTCATTTCTCTCTTTTCTTCGTCCATTGATTTTTCTTTAGACATCATTTTGACGTCTGCCTCATCATGATTTACTATTGGCATCACATGCGAATGTGATGCAAGATCATTAGAGTTGAATAAATCTCAATCATTTGTTTTTTTTGTAAGCTGTCAATTTCATTTTTACACATATTTTGAATATATTTCTCAAGTTAAATGTGTAATAGGCATAACTTACAACAACAATAACAACAGGAATAATAAACCTTATCTCACTACATGGGATAGGTTACATGAATCCTTTTTTCCATTGTATCATACCAAGAATCAAATTCTCATGTAAATCTAATAAAAAAATCATTTTTAATACACATTCTAACCAAGCCTTTTTAGGTTCACTTCTACCTTTCTTAACATAAACTAAATCTAATACATCTATCCTAACAAGGTCATCGGAAGGCCGACATTTCATGTGACCACACCATCTAAAGTGACTCTTTCTAATTTTATTTGCCACCAGAGCCACTCCAACCTTTTCACTTATGTCCATATTTTGCATTCTGTCTCTAAGTGTAAAGCCACTCATCCATCTGACCATTCTCATATGTACAAAACTTACTAATTTTATGCTTCTCTTTCAATGGCCAACATTTTGCACCATAAAGCATTATAGGTCTCACTACCATTTTACACATTTTCCCCTTAAGTCAACAGACCCAATGCATTCCTCCACCTCAACCATCCAACTTGAATTCTACTAATAACATCCTCATCTATTTCAGCATTTCTTTGAACAATAATAGATATCAAAGGCCTTTATTCTATATAAAGTTTATTGTAAAATAGATAACAATGAAATTTGATTTTTCAAACCTACCTGATAGTTCTTTCTTCGACTCCACAGTCCACCCCTCCTCTTTCTCCCTTCAAGCCCTCTCCTTTTAGCGAGCAATTATTAGGTCCTTTCACTGGATGTAGAGGAAGGTTCGGTTTTAGGCAATCAACCATCCAACTTGAATTCTACTAATAACATCCTCATCTATTTCAGCATTTCTTTGAACAATAATAGATATCAAAGGCCTTTATGCTATATAAAGTTTATTGTAAAATAGAGAACAATGAAATTTGATTTTTCAAACCTACCTGATAGTTCTTTCTTCTACTCCACCCCTCCTCTTTCTCCCTTCAAGCCCTCTCCTTTTAGCACCCACTCGCCTCTTCTTTAAGGTTCTTTGTGCATCTTATATCAATTACTATTAGAGCCTCAGTTGATCATATTTCTCCCAGGCCGCGTAGGATATGAAACCATGCCTTCTATAACACTACATTGCATGATTTCTTTGCTCCTATGTTCGCTCACATCTTGGGTAAATAACTCGATCTCACTAGCATCTCCAAACTTGCAAATCTTTTTGCCCTAGCATGTGACTTCCTCCGTCACTGCAACTGTCTCCAAGACCTATCTCCAGGCCCAACTCTTTTTGCACTCACTCTTGAGTCTACATTGAATTTGAACATAAGCCTGATCACCCATACGTGCTAAAGTTGCTAGTTTGCCTGCTCATTCTCATACACCAAATCTAGATGAATTATATGTTAAGATTCCTCATTTGCATGACAATGAATAAATTAACTTGGTATTTGGATTTACAATATCAGACAAATTACATAATAAAAATAATATAAAAGATATTGACTTTACGAAATCAAAAACTAAAATCAAAATAAAATAAACTACGAAATAAGAATTTTAACTAAATAGCATCCATACATATTATCCCAACCAAGATAAGAGCATCCAAAGTAATATTTGCCTTAGTCAGCTTGATAGCGTCCATTATACAAACCAAACAGTCCACTTATCTACTGAAGGCGAAATGAAGGTATGCGGCAACAAAACACCTCTCCCAAGTAATAGCCTGGATAAGAATATAGCTATAAGGTGTTTTTCCTCGTGGAAACTTCTGTTTTTTCTAATCACCCCACCTCAATTCAATCTACTGCAATGATAGCTCATAAAAAGTATCACAAATTCTAAAAGAGTTGAACGACATCAATCTCAAAGAATAAGCTGCACATGAACACCCGTAGAATTAATTGACTAGAAATGCAATAAACCATGAATGCCTACAAGTTTTTTTTTCCTTACCCTCCTTACCCCAGCAATTAACTTTCCTTGGATTTATAGCCAAAATTAGTTCTTCAAACTAGAAAATCACAAAATCTAGTCTAAGGGACCCTCCAGCATATGAAATAGGAAGTTAAGACTAACAAATGAATTAGGCTTAGCCCAGCAAAAAAAAACTTTTTTGGAAACTTGTTATTATTATGACACTACGTAATGGTGGCCACTTCCCCTGGATATTTTAAGTGAAGAAGAGAAAAATAGCATTGTATTGGAGAAGCAGCATAACATGCCACAGATAATAGATTAAAAAAAAAATATAAGAAAGTAAATGGTAGCAATAGATAAGCCATGGTAGCAGAATTTTGCCAGGGATAAGATCAAAGCTTTTGCCGATGGGCATAGATAGCATGCTTTAAACTTAGGAAACGAATTTATAAGGGTAGACAATGCAGAAAGACCAAAGTAGCTAATCTGTCAATGGGTTGTGGACTTAAAAATCAACCTAACTCAATTTGTGCGTTCATCCAAACAATTGGTTCTTTCAAATCCATCCACAAACTTAAAACCCAAACCATCCATCCCACCTTCCCTCCCAACTACTGACAAATTTGGTCATCCACTCGCTTCCCATGAAGATGTCAACAAAACCTGGTCCATGCCTTCACCATGAAACTGCACTCAAGATCAGTACGGTGGCTACCAACTCTGCCGCCTAAGTAATGGTGACACCAACAAAGCCTTTTCCCAGCTGAAATTGCCCAAAAATGATTCTTTGTCATCCTTTCATTTGCATGCGGCCCTAGTCATTTACCAAACAATTGGTTCTTTCATCCACCAACAAAATGAAAACCCAAACCATCTATCCCACCTTCCCACCCCACTACTGACAAATTTGTTCATCCACTCGCTTCCCATGAAGATGTCAACAAAACCTGGTCCTTGCCTTCCCCATGAAACTGCACTCAAGATCAGTACAGTAGCTACCAACTCTGCCGCCTAAGCAATGGTGACACCAACAAAGCCCTTTCCCAGCTGAAATTTCCCAAAAATGATTCTTTTTCATCCTTCCATTTGCATGCGGCCCTTGTCATTTACCCAAGCTGCTAACAGTCTGCTAAGCCGGCTGCTCCTATTGAACCAGTCCCTAGTGGACCGGTTTTCTACTACAGCCGCCAGCCCACGGAAGGGAGAGAGAAGGGGCTGGCTGCTCCTATGAGGCTCACGCCTTGATTAAAAATTGTTTTGGAGGGAAATATTTGAATTAAGTGTTGTTTACGGATTTTGTATTTCTCTTTTCGCTTTAATTAGTTGGTAATGCTAGAATTAGGATTTCATCTTGAATTTGAATATGAAGTTTGAGATTTTCCTTGTGCTTGGGCTCTGGTCGCTTGGCTTGGGATTCGGAGAGTCGTTTCTTCCTCTCGAATTAAAGAAACTCGTATCAATTGCTATTTTTCTTGTTTACTAGTGGAATCCATCGTTTTTCTCTCAGATTTCTACAGTTTTTCTCAAGTTGCTGCTGTCCTGTAGCAGTTTTGTCTCAGAAAACAGCAGATTTTTCTGTTGGAGGTGATTATTTCCTATCCGTGAAATCATCAGCTACTATTCCTCCGCAGACAGGCATCATAAAATGCATATAGAATAGTACGATGGTAGCATATTCTTAAAGTTCTGGATTATAAGCACGGAAATAGGCTACCTGCAAATGTAAAGGATAATAGTGTGTATATCAAGTTATCAACCCTCCATTACAGAGAGCTCCGTGACCTGGTGTGCCTATTATTTTCTTTACGTTGTTGCAACACTGACATCTTATATGGATAAATATGGTCAATTTAACCTGAATAGAAGCGGATCTGATTCTGTTACCACCGGAACTTGGCCAACTGATGGGGCTACATGCATGGCCCATTTAATTATGATGGTGTGGCAACACCACTTTTGTTTAAGTGAGGACCGTAATCCTATGGAAAACTAAAACTTCATGCAACGTGTTTTCCAAACAAAATGAAAGTAACGCAAATTTGACAGTAAAAATTGGATGTACCATACCATTCACGGTAGCACTTCAGGCACATGCAATGGCAGCAATTAGGCAAAACTATCTTGCTGTTCAACTCCATGCAGATCCCACATTCCTCTTCTCTTTCAGCATCAAACTCCGAGAACTGCCTTCTGTCCCCATCATCTCTTCTTCTATACCTTTCCTGACATATTGCTTTTTGCTTTTTATCCTCCATATCAGTAATTCCTTTATGCAGTTGCATCAGAGACGGGAAAATCACAGCTGCAATAAAAACACAAGAAAAAATACTAATGATAATGGACTGGACAGGTGTATTGATCTATGAAATCTAATGAAATTAAACCCCGAGTTACCATAGAACTCCTTGATACTTGCTTTCCTTTCATGTGTTGACATTGTTGTTGTTCCATCAATATAAACCTGCCGAAAGGAGCTTGTTAATCAGATCAATTTTTCAACAAAGGTGAAAACTAAATCTGCATAAAAAAGACAACCTTATATATCAAAATCCGCAGCAGTCCTAGAGCCCCAGCAAGACTACAGTCTGTCCACTGAACTAGAAACAGAAATAAGTGAGCAGCTGGACTGTATGACATACGCATTTGAAGGCAGGCACCATCAAAATCTCTTGAAAATTCTGATGCCCTGCACATCACAATAAAAGATTAGTCTGCATTAGCGCATTCACAACACTGCAAAAAATAATCTCTACTTTTGTTTTTGTCTTCACTGAGAGACGTCAAAACTCAAAACTAATCAGGGAATAGCAGTACAGTCAACAAGCCAAGATGCCTAAAAAGATATATTTTTTAGATTTCCTCCGTAAAATTTCATTAAAAAATATCAACTCAAGTAATTAGCAACAAACATTTGGGCGTCCAAGAACCAAGAATAAGTCATCTTATATGACTACAGAAACTGATGATTAAATGTCATAAAAAATGGGTAGTCTTAATTGAGACATGTGAATGATTGGAGACAGACAATGGACTGACTCCCTTAGCTCGCCTAGACAAAATAGCTAGTAGGAGGGAAAAGGAGCTTGGAAAAGACAAAGAGGAAGAGTTTCCAAGCGAATGAGGCAATCTTTAAGCAGGAAATACTAGTGGATCCTGCTCCAATGCTCAGCATATGGTTGATAACCTTCTTTTCTCCCTCTTTCTTTCCATTTCCTTCCCTTCCATTGATTTCTCTATTTTCACTTCAGGTTTTGATTAGGCTGCCTTTATGCAGGGGGGTTTCAATAGCACCAAAACTGACAATATAATGAGATTGTTCAAGAATACGGGCAGATGCTCAGTAGTGCGGATTCTTTTTTTATTATGGGATTTCTGATAACAGAGTTGTGTAGCTTTGTTTTGGACTTATCCTTCACTACTTTAAATTAGGGCATTACTATCCTTTTCTATTTTGAGAGTCAGTCTAGCATGTGGTTCGTTCCAAGTGGTTCTCATTTGCAAAATTTGTGTATGAATTGAGGCTAGAATTTGACCAATTTGAAAATTCCAATTGTCGGTTTTTGGTAATTTTAAAATTTAAATGGAATTAATCTAAATTAAAATAAAGATTGATCATATATCAATCTTATTTTAAGTTATGAGTATAAACATTGATATGAGACATCCAATTCACAATTCTTTAACTTGAATAAAACTTCTATTTCAAGTTTCAATCTTGTAAATGTCAGTTGGATGCATAATTTTTCGTAAGTAGTACTAGATTCCAAAGAAAGCCATCTCTTTGTATTGGTACAAAGTTTGATTTTTCTAACTTTGATAATTATTTTATTCTATTTTATTTATATAATTTGACATTAACTTATTTAATGTTCATGATTTTGATAAAAAAAAGTGGCACTTAAAGCTTATTTTGTGAAAATTAACATGATATACTTGTTAATTTTGTTTGTTTCAACTTTCTTGGATATTTTCGATCATCTCATTATCAGTTTGCCTTAAACTCAACCATTGTCTATTTTTGTTTAAAGAAAGTGGCTTGAATCAATTAGTTATTTGTGATCTATGACTCCTTTATGTTTCTGCGTATGAATAGATAAAATACATTATGTTAGTTGCATTAGAAAATGTAATCTTGAATCATCTTGCATCAACGTGATTGTTGAATTTGATCTCTATTCATTGTTCCATTATCTCTCTACTTGGTTTTTTTCTTTAATGACCAAAATGACATAGTCACAAGCATGCATAATAGAGGTCTCACAAAAAAAGGTTAATACATACCCACTATTTTCATTCTATTCCCCATAAAATTTGGAGTGAGATAAGATTTCCACCTAAGTTAACAATCGAGTTCCAATTAATTGCATTAAAAAATACAGATCAATCTTGACATAAGATAATTGCAATAATTAGCTAAAGCTTGAATGAATAAAGAATTATCAATCCATATGATGATTGATTCCTGCTTTTTATAGATTTGAAAGTGTTGTAACAATTTTGTAAATGATGGTTAAATGGATGTGACATAACTTCTACACGTAAACCTAAGTAGATAAAAAGAACAAAGCTTCCAGGATACTACTACAACAACAACAACATCAAGTCTTTATCCCACTACGTGGGGTTGGCTACATGAATCCTTTTTCTCCATTGTGTCCTATTAATAGCTTCCAGGATACTATGAAAAGAAAATATTACTGAGACAAAAAAATTATATTAAACTAAAGTTGGAAAAGAAATGCATATAAATATATAAATCCAAGTGTTAAGTTAGTAAAAGCCACTTAGAACTAGATTGAGCATTGAAGAAATAAGAATTTCAAAATGGACATAAAGTAAAAATAGGAATGATAAAGTGCGATATTATTATTGCAAAAAAAAAGTGAGAATACAACCCAAATTTGAAGAGGACCAACGGGACTTTGATATCGGTATTGGGTTTAAGAGAAATTAAGCTGGTTTTCATGAGAAGAAATGGGTTCTTAATTTTTTTTTTTAAATAAGGGGTGCAACACGAGGACTTCCCAGGAGGTCACCCATTCTAGTACTACTCTCGCCCAAGCACGCTTAACTGCGGAGTTCTGATGGGATCCGGTGCTCTGGTGTTGGTATGTTAACATTAAGAAATGGGTTCTAAATGCTAATAGCTGAAGCTCAATTCAGGGTTAATCAAGTTAGTCAATTTTTTAGTTTTTTGAGAAACTTGATAATCAAATGGTATTTCAATGGAGAATTTGTAGCTCATAAGTAGGTGTTTTTGGATTTTGTAGGATGGAGGTATCACTAGTCCACTTTAGGATTTTATTAAGTTGATTGGTTGGATGTTAGAAGAAGAAACCAAGTATGTTAAGAATTTTTTGAATTCAAAAGCAGAGCTTTTTTGGAGAGGTTAGAATGCCATCATGCCAACTTTATTCAACCTTATCTCAATGCCTAGCGAGAGAATGTTCGATCTAGAGGCATGAAAGAGAGAAACTCTCCTAATTAGGAGAGAGTATAAATTTTGGATAGGGAGTTTGCACTAAATGGAAGAGAACATATTATTAGTTGAGCAAGGGGGCGTTGAAACTAAACTCTTTAGTAATTCCCTATATGTAAAGCAATACAATAGGCCCTTCTCTTTAACTTAAAAATAATATACTATAAATCAAAATTTTAAAGATAATATGATGCAAGGTAATATAATTTTATTCAAATATTACTCTACTTTCTTGTTTAAAAAAATTATTTTTTCATATAAAAGACAACAACCAAAAAACATAATATGGCAAACCTGCTCCTTCAAATGACCAACCAATTAAAGGTTTAGAATCTACAAAAGCTCAGTTGAGCCTATCTTCAACTGCTTGAGGAAGATAATCCAAACTTAGTAAATTACTTAGTAGCTTAAATTAGTTGTGTGATATATAATGTGTATTTTTTTTTCATTTATTCTGATGAATATTTGGTTCCTACATAATCATTTACTTAACCATGCCAAAAGCATTCTTATAGCCATTCACAACTTTTCTTAATCCAAAGATACTTAAATTGTTAGCCTTTTTTTTCTTGAAATTTTAAGGACAATGTTGAGGATATTGTGAATATTACTGACAAGTTGCATGCGACTCTACACCATCGATATGATTGAAGGGTCATTAAGTTTCATATGAAGTATGTGTGGGGTTGGAAAAATTCTATGAAACTAGCATAAATTATGCTAGCTCATGAGTAAGGATTAATGAGTTTATCCTTTTTTTTTAGATTGATGAATGCCCATTGGAACCAATGGGACCGATTCAAGGTGGCATGACCGCAATTCATTGCTATGCTAATTCATGTAGATATGCATATGTCTATATTGATGGATCATTATTAATATTTATTTTAAGTGATCAATAATTCATTCATTGCATTGTTTTATACTTTTTTTTCATGACTGCTTTATGTTGTAGCATTCACTTGTAGTTTACATGTGACATTATTGTTTAGGCCCCTTACTTCATATATGATTTTGATTGAGTTCTTTAGGAGAATGTTTGAATTCTCTCCATTTGAGCATAGACATTATTAGTTATTACTCAAATCAATTGTTTGTTTTTAAAAAATTTCATGGTCCAATTAGTCCCTATATGTTGTAGGGTGAAGCTTTAGAAACAATTCTGTGTAGATATCACCACTTTGGTTATATGGCTATCAAATTTGATAGATAGCGGATGGAGTCTCATTTGGTAAATCTTTATTGTAAATTGCTCTTGTAAACTTTTATTTAGTCTAGCGTTAACTTTAACATGTGTACTTAAAGTTGGTGGTTAAACTTATATTGAGTTGTGCATTTAATATCTTTGATTATATTATCCGATATACTACTCATTTATATATTGTAAATGCCTATGTGGTATTAAGAAAATGAAGAAAATCTATGAAAACTTTATGTTGAAAGCCACATCCTGCCAAGAATGTTGCAGTATTTTCTGGCAACTTGTTTGGGCGTGACAGCAACCCAAACTCACTTTGTAAACAAAGAATAAAAAATTTTGCTCATCAACATATTTTCTTCAAAAAAAAAGGTCTACCATGGAGAAACTATAACAAAAGAAAACAACTGCACTCCGAGAGAAAATCTACGACGAAATTATAAAGCCGTCAACCACCAAAATCACAGAACAAAAATATAAAGAAAATGAACAGATTTCCTGTCGATCAGCTTCCTTCAAAAAATTTAGTAAAACATTAAGAAAATCACATGATCGCAAACTGCCACGAAACAAAAACAAAAAAGAAGAAATTACACTCTGGAAAACAAGAAATTTGATCTGCGATAGTTAATTAACCATGCGTTCACAAAAAAACGAATCAAAAACAGAGGGAAGCCACGCCCAAGAAGCAGATACAGAAAAAAAAGAAAAGAATCAGAGAGGAATGGGTCATCAGTTTCGACTTACAGTGTGTTCGCGTGCTGTATGTCAGCTTCGAGAACTTTGAGCGAATCCTTGAACGATTTCCGCATGTAAACCATGTATATCTCCAGCCAATTTCATTCAGCAAAGCCAGAATAATCTAGCCCTATTCCTCCTCAGAAACCCTAACCCCGCGTTTCCGCAAGCACTGGCTTTCCTTCCCTTTTTCCCTCCCTTCCCCTCTCAGTCGCTCGACTCTTTGCTTTCAAGAAGCCGAGCGGAGAACCGGACACGAATGACCGAAATAAGCGGTTGGATCGTGACACGTGTCGGTTGATCAAATTGAATAAATAAGTAGTACAAATATCTAATATTTGATTATTTTTATTTTTAACTTCCAAGAAAATGATTTTACCGCACTCAGTTGCACCTAAGCGCACCCAATTACACACCACAAGAACGGACCCATTTGTCCCCAGCCACATATGGTCTCCTATGATTTGGGTCAAGGAAATTAAATCGTAAGAAACTTAAATAAAATAGTAAGTTTGGTGGCAAAAATGGAATAATATTTTGCAACCGTCACTGTCCACCTTATCCTTTTTAGGTGAAAGGATTAAATAAATAAAAAGAATGGTCCACTAACCCCCTTTCATGATATTTTATTGAAGGAGGAAAATCTTCTATATTTTCTGAACAAATAAAATAAAAAAATCATTAATTATATTTTAAGATTATTAAATATATAAAAATATATTATACTTATTTTAAAATAAATTTAATTAAGATTAAGTTCCACTCTGATCATAATTTGATTACAACATTCTATGACAATTTTTTATTTATATACATTATTAATAGAATTCAAATTGGATAGTTAAACTATATAAATGCATCAGCTTATTTTATGATAGAAAAGTCCCACTCAAATTTAAAGAAAATTTTATAAGATGGTGGTGAGACTTGCAATGCTTTAATTTATGACACAAAATGTTGGCTATTAGAAAAGAAGCATAATAGTAAATTAAGTGTTGCAGAGATGATGATGCTCAGGTGGATGAGTAGCTTTACTGTTATAAGCATGATACGAAATGAGCATATACGTGAAAAGGTTGGAGTACTCTAGTGGCAAATGAGATTAGAGAGAGTCATCCGTCTTAGATGGTTTGGTCACATAATACGGTGGCCTGTCGATGACCCGATTAGGAGAGTCGATGTATTAGATTTGGCTTATGTTAAAAAAGGTAGATGTAGACCTAAAAAGATTTGATTAAAAAATATTAAAAATGACATTTATAAGATTTAAATTGGAATTTGACTCTTAACAAAACACAATATAGAAAAAGGATTCATGTAACAGACCTAATGTAGTGGAAATAAAGACTTGATGTTGTTGTTGTAATACATTAAATAACTTAAATCCTACTTTGAGATATAATTTTTTTATATAAATTAAAGATAAATTTTATTAGCCACACCCAAATTCCAAAATGAAAAGGCTTTAAACTAAGGTTTAGTTTGAGGCATCTTTCTAACTACTTTGTAAAGCTGTTGTTGAGAAAATAATTTTTAAAAGCTATTGCAGAAGACAACTTTATAGTAATTTTTTTTTTTAAGTTAGCCAAAAAATAGTGTTCAAACATAAATTACGGATGTGGTTTAAAAAACAAAACAGTAAGAAAGCTATCCCAAAAGAAACCTAATTATGAGATACAACAACAACAACATCAAGCCTTTATCCCACTACGTGGGATCGGCTTAAGTTAGGTATGACATTGTGTAGCATTACTTAAGTTAAGTATATAGTTTATATGAGACAATTTGTGTCTATTGACTATTATGGTGCTCAACCAATGGATATATTATTTGAGATCAAGATGAATACCCATGATTCTTCTTATAGTCCAAATGATATCATTTGATCTTAAAGGGAGACATGACAGCTCTTCTTAAAAGGAGGTCAAATGATTTTTGATTACTTATTTATAGGAAAATTGTAAAAACGATATTCCCCAAAATAAAGTTTGAATTGTTGTTGTCCTCAAAATTTTTAAGCATGTTTTAAATGCATCAGTGTTATACTATAATAACAAGAGGTTAGTATCCATCAATCTTACGCTTTATTTGGGACGGCTTTCTTATTGCTTCTTAAAGCAGATTTCTAGTACAAAAAATCTACTTTAAAAAATAGTAAGAACGTTGTCCCAAATGAAACCTTGATGGTGGATCAAGGAATGTGGATTTAAAAATTCAAAATCTTGATATTAGTGTGTTGCTACCTAATATGATGTTATAACAATGAAGCAAATTTTTCTATAGTTATTGAATATTTATGGTATAATGAGTAGACCTGTCAATTTCGGGTCATGGGACGGGTTCGGGTCGAACTCGGAATTGACCCGGCACTATTCGGGTTCGGGTCAACCCGACCCGTTTTCACAAACGGGTCGATTTTCCGGACCCGCACTCGACTTGCTTCAGGTTCGGGTCAACCCGACTTGACCCGCTTCGGTTTGATTTTTCAAGTTCCCGTGCGGTGCAAAGGTAGGCCGGCAGCGGTGCAGCGACGACAGTGCTAGCGAGGCAGCGGGCTCGATGCAAGCGGCGACGCAAGCGAACAGAGCGATCACGCGATGCGAGATGTAAAGCGTTGGGCTCGATGCTGGCTGTGGGCCAGGCGGGCAGCCCAGGTATGCGGCACGCTGGGTCGCGGGGCAGCCGGGGCGCAGGGCAGGCGGTCAGACTCGGGCATAGTAGACAGGGCCGATTTCAGGGTCATTTCGGGTCATTCCCGGGTTACCGAGTCATCCCGAACCGGACTCGGTTTTGCAAACGGGTCGATTTTCCGGACTCAAACCCGACCCGCTTCGGGTTCGGGTCAACCAAAACCCGAAATTTTCGGGTCGGGTTCGGGTCGTGTCCAATATTGACAGGTCTAATAATGAGCCTAATATATGCATCTTCTCATTATTTGTTTAAAAATAGAAGTAATGTCTATCATGTTAATTCTTTCAATCCATTTTATGTAACTAAAGAAGATTTGTTCCCTCTTTATGGGCAATCCTCCTTGAGCTAAAAAATCTATTTGCCTAGCACAATCCCTGGAAATGTTACATGCCCCTTTTTTTATTCTTCTTTAGGCGGTCACTCCTAAGACAATAAGATCATGGTGCACCCCATGCATTCTTTCTATATGCCTAGTCCAGCGACTTACTATCACCTGAATTCCTTGAAAAATGATATGAACTCATTAGTTTTTTTTAACATTCTTGTTCACTCTAATCATTTTTTTTCTTGGCAACACCTCTTGTTTAACAAATGTCTTTATTCAGAAGCTTTCTTTATTATATATTTCGCCTACACCCTTTTATCTTAAATAAAATGAGTTAAACATCCTTAATCGAGAGTATTCTTGATTATCATATCAAAAATGTAAATAATTATTGACGCTCCAGCTTAGGAAAAATAAAAAATATGGATACCCACAACTAAATAAATCCAATTTGAACCTTCATATCATTTAGGGTAAATTTTTATGATATATTTTCAATGTCTTCTATTAATTCCTACTGATCCATATTGACATTTGGTGCTCTTTATTATCTAACGACCTTTATATAATAATAAAAAAGAAGACTTTCGAAATCCACACGTGTGTTCACAACTAGGGGTGTCAATTTCGGGTCACGGGTCGGGTTCGGGTCGAACCCGAAACTGACCCGGCACTATTCGGGTCAACCGAACCCGACCCATTTTTAAAAACTGGTCAATTTTTCTGACCCGAACCCGACCCGCTTCGGGTCCGGGTCAACCCAACACGACCCGAATAACCCGTTTCAGCAAAAAAATGGCTAATTTTCGGGTCAAAACGGGTCAATCTCCTCTTTTTGGGTCAAAATCGAGTTGCCGGGTCAAAATGGTTAACCCGAACCCGACCCGATTTTTGAAATGGGTCGAAATGCTGAACTCGAACCCGACCTTTTTCGGGTTCGGGTCAGATTTTCGGGTCGTGTCAAATATTGACACCCCTATTCACAACCCCTATAGGCCTTTTGTAGCCTTCTAATTTGATAAAATCCATCTCATTAATAATGAATTATTCACTAATTTAATATTATTTTGGACAAATAATTAGCAAGAATCAGTGAAAAAAGAGCCTCCCAAATCAAAATATGATGCTAGCTAACCGAGAGCTACATCATATATTTCTTGAGATGAAACTTAAGTGCTCACATGAGGATAAAATATAGGCCTCAATTGTTCAAAATGTCAGTCAAATCTTGCATTATATTAAGCTCGTGAATTTGAATTGAAGATCAACAATTATTTTAAAATAAATCCATTTTTTTCTTATTCATTCACCGATGAAAATCAATTAGCCAACTAATAAAACAAACCTCAAATTGTGCCAACTTAAGCTCGTATCAAAATTTATATATAAATGTATGCATGTCATTTTCTTTTTACCTTTAAATTTATGCACCTATGCATAAATTTATATATATGATAAAATGTGTTCATCATTGGCTCAAAAATCCATCTTCAAAGTTCAAAAATCAAAATATTAACTCTTATTATAACAAATGATTCAAATGTCTATTTAATCAATATTAGACCAACTTAACTCACATCCACATCTGGTTTGACTCAGAATCAAACTAAATAATTGTGAATTGATCTAGGTCAACTTAAAATTCAAGAGAGGTTTGTCGGATTATCCCATTCAAATCAAATTAGATAGAATATTGGTCAACAATGCTTGGCTTGAGAATTTCCCACCTCATTTTATAGGGTTTGCTATCACTTCCTATCAAATTATTCTCCTATTATTCTTTCTATGAATGCTATGTCAAAAGCCTACCATAGATTCCTCTTCAAGAACTTATGGTGTAAGCTATCTAATTTTTGGGCATAACTTATTGAGGTTTTCTCACTTCCCTCTTATTGAAATTTGAAACCACCTCTCATCCTATTATAAACTCAAAACACTTAAGTAAATGATGAAATTAAGCTAAACCCAAAACGCTCACCCCATCTATTCACGACCTCCCGCTTATGTAAGAATCTTGCATTAAATGCCTCCGCTCCAACCCACTCAACCTTTCCTTTAATGCTGAGCTTAAAATCCAATTTAGCCAGTCGCTTTGCTTCATGGGCTTCTTGAATTTCTCAAAGAGCTAAAGCTTCTTGGTTGTGTAATGGGGAAGATGATCTTGGTTTCCTCTTTGGAAAAATTAAAATCCGTTAGTT